AAAAGTAGATGCAGGACTGTCATGGTTTAACCCCAGCTAGCAACCAAGCCCCATCCTGCTGCTCACACACTCCCCCACCAAGGGGATGGGGGAGAGAATCAAAAGGGTGAAAGCTAGAAAGACTCATGGGTTGAGATAAAGACAGTTTAATAGAGTAAGCAAAAGCTGCACACACAAGCAAAGCAAAACAAGGAATTAATTCACTGCTTCCCATGAGCAGGAGGTGTTTAGCCATCTCCAGGAGAGCAGGGACACATCATGTGCAATGGTTCCTTGGGAAGACAAATGTCATCACTCCAGATGTCCCTCCTTCCTCCTTCTTCCCACTCTATACACCGAGCATGATGTCATATGGTATGGAATATCCCTTTGGTCAGTTTGAGTCACCTGTGCCAGCTGTGTCTCCTCCTAACCTCCTATGCACCCCCAACCTCCTTGCCAGTGTGGCAGTATGAAAACCCAAAAAGATCTTGGCTCTATGTGAGCTCTGCTCAGCAACAACAAAAACATCTCTGCATTATCAATTCTGTGCCCAGCAGTGCCTTATGGAAGTACAAATTGCAGGAAAATGCACTAATTAATATTCAAGGGGGGAGAATTTCATTTCACTGTAGAGGAAATGATCAGATGGTTCAGATATGGGTATTCTCATGTCTTTTGCATTACAAAATGGCATGAAATATCTGCTGCAGAAATAGTTGCCTAAATGGAACTAGAAAGAATGTTGCATGGTTTATTATAGTTTATGTAACAATCTTGACCAGTTTAGTGTAAACTACCTGAGAACCAAGAAATAATGTTTAAACTAATGTTGTTACAACAGGGTGTGTCAATATTTTTGTTCTGCACCATTGCCTAGTTGGGGTTTTTTATTTACTCTGAACGATATGGGTTGCCTTGCACCAGCAAAGCTCAGAGTACCTCAAAAACTGAAAAAAATCTTTCACAAAATGTTGTATTTAAACCTAGTCTGTTAATAATTATAGATACTAATTATTATATTATTAGGCTTTGCAAGGCTTTGTATTATTTGTGGGGTTTAATTTGGTCTTATTGTACTTTTAGTTTATTTGTACTTTTAGACTCATTTAACCGCAAATGTTCTTGTTCAAGCAGCCTTTAATCTGAGGCAGAAAAGCCCATACTCTTCAAAATGCTCAACAAATTAATGTGGTTAATGAACAATGCCTTTTTGATACAAGTGAAGTGCTTGTTTTGCTTCATTATCCTGTGGGGAAGAGCTGGAGACAGACAGCAGAGTGTAGCATGAAGCTGTGACTCAGAACATCTCTATCACACCTTCTGCTCCCAGTTCCCTCAGCAGGCTTAGCTGGGCAATACATCTGTCATATCTGACTCTGCAATGTCGTGACTTGGTGGGGTATTATTCTATCAAACACAGTGTACAGGTTAAAATAATCTGACAGGTGACAGAATATCTCTTTGAAGATTGAGATATGTATTTGGCAAAACTCTTATTCTATCTGTACCCAACAGAGATAGAAGAAACACCATAGCTGCACTGCATCCCTGACTGGCAGTGTTCCTGCAGGGTATTTTCCCATGGGGTTTGATGTGGATTTTGGGGGACTTTGGTCACTGGGTTAGGGTTAGAGAAACTGAGAGCTGTTTGCTCTCTCATTGATGGACACTAGGTTGTTTTTCCAGCAGTCATCTTCCAGAATTTTTGCCTCACTTCCATTGCTCCCACAGCTACCCTCTAGAGTTGTATTTTGCCCCTTGAATTGCAAATAACCAAACCTTTCATTGAGACAGTACTTTATCTCCCAACCCTAGTAGGATATATCAGTCTTCCCCACATGCCTTGCCTTGCAGACAAAATCCATTTTGCCTGATCATGTCTAGAACTGCACAGACTCTTTTTCCCCCAAAACAGAACATTGTTGCAAAGTTGTTGTCTATTTTCTCAAAACATCTTCCTTTGTAGACTCCTTCTCTTAAAGCATGGAGTTGGAAAGTATGGGAGCTCTTGCCCTAAAAAAGCTCTCAGGATTCACACGGAGACTGACTTTGTAAGGAGTGTTTGGTGAGATGCCATAATGTTGTGATCTCTGCAGCCCAAATCCAACTTATTACTCAAAGCACACCACACCTTCCTTCAACCCCACACACTCAGGTTTGTATCTCAAAGAACAGTAAGTTCCAGGAGAAAGGGAGTCCTTGAGCACATCTCTGACACCTTGACATGACTGAGGATGACATCCTGGGGCTATAGGTTCTGCTGATCTCAGGTGCCTTCACTGGTTGTGTCTTAGGGCTTTACATTTTTCCTTCAGCTCACTCAGATTTCTTTTTCACTTCACTCAGCTGCAGAGTGTGTTCCTCACAGTGCTATGGCCCTTGGCAGGCATTCACATCCTCTCCTCTGCATCATCATGAAATCAAGTCTGTGCTCTTGCAGGCACATACACATACAGCAATGACCTGGCTTCGTTCAGATTCTCATGTTTCTAGACTTGACATGTCTTTTCCATAACTCACATATCACGTTTCAGGCTTCTTGGTTCCCCTGTATGATTTTTTTTAGTCATCCCTCTACGTGGTGCTGTGGGGATGCTTCTCCATACTACAAGAAAGTCAGGACGTCTCTCTGTGCCACCCTTCCTATTACTCCACAGAGCTTTTGAAAGTTAGTGATGATTAATACGTGCTTGGAAATTACACTGGAATTTCAAGGAACATTTTCCAAGTTAGTGCCTATGCATTTTTATTTCCATAACATTTATGCATTCTGATATGTTTCTGTCCCTTTGTACTGTTTTTTTTCCTCTGGCTTTTTTCCTCTCTTGTACAATGTGTATTTCTCCAAGTGATGTTTCCAACAGCATTTTTTTTATTATACTGACAAGAACAGCAACACCTCTGTAGATTGTCCTACAGCAAAGGCATGACAGAATAAATGATCATAAATAAAACATCTTACATGATTTCTGTGCTTACAGTCCTTCAGCTCCTCTCTCCAAAGGGCAAGTGTCCTGGCAAACCGCTGCCTTGTATGGCATTTCAGACTTAAACTTGATGTTGACAAAACAGGTGTGATTGTTGCTGTATCATAGGATTTGAATTTAATTTCCAAGTGTATGCTAGAAAGGACATCAAGGATTGATAGGCCACATGGTGCTTGAATTTTGTTGTTATGCATGTTCAGCTCTTTATTATATATGTTCAAACTGCTACTGGGAGAGGTAATTTCTTTTAGTCACATAGAACTAGATGGAACATCTAGTCTTGCAGAAAGACACAAAGCTGCAGTTTGGGTGGCCCAAACTCTCCATATCTCAGTTTCCTGTGTATGAAGTAGGAGTAAATTAATTTATTTGCTTTCTACTTTTTTTGGGTGTAATATATACTGGCAGTCTTTGGGGTGGAAAGTTCAGTTGAATCCTTTGCTACCACTTTTGATACGTTCTCACATAAAGTCATATTAGCTGATGATGGAAAATACCCATTTTCTGCATCTCATTGCCTTTATTTTATGCACATATTCATGGTCTTTGCATCTGAAAGATCTGGAACAGAAGAACATCTGATCCCATGTGTCACCTGCATGTTACATGTCAAGTTCCTATCTCATACTGCTCATAGGACAGTTTCTGGTGCATGTTTTTAAGCCCAGTGCCATTGAACACGAGGAGCCACATGACAATGCATTGCTATAAATGCACTTTGAGATGTAGTCACAAATGTCCAAGAGTAAGGGGAGTGCAAAAAATAAAAAAATAGATTAAGGAGAGACAGGCAAGGAGAAGGACCAGTTGTGTTTTCATCTTAATTTATGTATATTTCAGAAGTCAGGATTGTTACACAGTAACAAAAGTAATTGTTATTTTTCTGTAAAAATATCTTTGTTCAAACTAACTTGTTAAAACGTTTAAAACAGAGGAAGGACTTACAGAGTACCTGTGTACATAGATCTTGCCTACAAAGCTAAGTGGTGAGACAGGTAATACCAGCACACATGAGGACCTAGAGGTAGAAACTGGGAGCAGCAGAATACTGAAGACCTGACCGATGTTACAGGGTCTACAGTTCTCCAAACTGTGGTAATTCTGCAGGTAGATACATGTCTAATGTGCAATATAGAATCATAGAATCAACCTGGTTGGAAAAGACCTCAAAGATCATCGAGTCCAAAATATGTAGCCAATCAGCAAATACAATCCATGTTTTGTTCTCTAAAAGTAGAAATGTTTCTATTGAAATATCTGATTGGATGAAGGAAGTCAAAGATCATAAATTGAGACTTTCAGCTACTAGACAGCTATTCCCCAGGGGTATTGTCAGCCCAGCAATATGCCAGTGCTGTATAGAATAGTCCACTGCCTAAGTGGAAGGAAACACAAGTGACAAATGATATTCAATTGAACTTGTTATTATAGAGGTCAGAGTCCTTGGCTGATAGGGGAAATAGACCTTGCCAGAAGTACAAGCAGTGCATGTAGTAAAGGAATGTAATAAATAAGCATCAACGTAAAGTATACTCCTAGAGAAGCAAGTGTTTTGTCTTTTCTATTGCTGAAATGAAGTAGGTAATAATTATTAAAAAATACTGTTTAGTCTCTTTGGAGTCATCTATCCAACTGTTAAGGCCTGAAAGTATTTTTGAGTATTTTTGAATTTTCTGAATTTCAAGCATTTTTGTAAACACAGTAACTCTTATTTTTAATAAACATCTCCTCACGTGGTACTCTGGAATCTGTTGTGTGGATTCCTTCCTCTGTTACCTGCTCACTATCCCTGAAAAGAATGTAAAACAGGAGATGCAATGGCATGAGAGAGAGAAGTGTCACTTCTCTAAAGAATGATTTTGACACGTCCCATCTTACTGTCTCAGCAGCCACTGCACACACCTGAGCAGAGCTGCAGAGTAGTGCTAGTCACTGAGGTGTGCAGCATGGAGCGTGTTCATCTCTGTAGGTCAAACTGCTGATGGCAGGGGAAGTTTACTAAACCCACTGTTTTGTTGGACCTCATTTCAGGTGGCATTCCGTTTGTCCTCACTGGAGAGTTCTTCCAGCAGTCACAGAGACCAGCTGCATTCATGATAGCTGGAACAGTCAATTGGCTCTCCAACTTCGCCGTGGGACTGCTCTTCCCTTTCATTCAGGTACTCAACACCCTTGATAATTAATATGCTATGATATCGTTGGTATAGTGTGACATATAATATTGAAGTAGAATTTTCAGGTAATAAGCAATAACCTGTTATTGAAGTGGATGACATTCCCATCATGTTCATTACACAGTTCGGTTGTGCTACTCATTTCTCCTTGTTTGAATGCCTTGGAAAAAATTGTTGTCCAATAGAAAAATTATTGTAACCTTGGACAACCCTCTATGGCAAATTCCCTGCAGGAGAGTTTGAGCAATGTGGTCTGGTGGCTGATGGGGTTCATGGTCCCTGATGGGGATTGTCACTGCCTCTTTCTTCAGCCTTTAGGCTACTCATTGCCTGGTTTAACCTATGCTTTGAGAATCCTTAGTCTCATTGGGGTATAGATGCTCTCTGCTCCTCCCTTCATAAACTTGGCTTCATGGATCTGGTTTCTTCCATCTCTTCTGTCAGGCTTTTATCTTCTGAACCAGTTCCTTCTCACACCCTAGTTGCTGCATGAATTAATCTGCTCCTGTCCCAACTTACCCAGGCTCCCATAAGCTTCACCCTTAGTGGATTGCTTGGCTGCAGTAGTCACATGGAGGTGTTTGTATTTTAACAAGATTAGTTTATTTTCTAGAAAATAAAAAGATTTAAAAATGTAAAGACAAAATTCAAAGTTCAACATATCACACCTTTTTTTCTGTTCTGATTCTTCAAAGCACTTCAACACTGGGCTGCATCCAAAGATGTGCCTATGAAGTAATACGTCTGAGATATTATACTTTTTTCCAATGGCCCTCTTGTACTTTTGCTCTGTTTTACCCCTGAGATTTTCCTTCTTGTGCCTCAAGATTCATTTACCCAGGAAGGTTTGGTTTTCTTTATTATTTCCTTACTGTGTAATAATAGCCCTTGAACTTTTTCTGTTATGCAGTACAAGAATTTCAATAACAAAGGTTTGCACAGAAGTTTATAGATAGATTCCCTCAGCCAAGCTATTTTAAGCTTTTGCAAATGCATCAGATACTTAAAGTAACTGCAGTGCCCCTGTATTAGAGGAAATGGCTAAAGTTCCCCTCAAAGATGAGAAAATGAAATGTAGCCTATCAGAAGGTTAGGTGTGAGAAAAAAATGCTCTTAATTTGAAGGTAACCACCTCAGGTATAAAATACAAGGACCTGTTGGCTCTTTTATGAGGAGATAGTGAATGTGTGAGGGCTGGGGTTGAAACTGCAGTTCATGTCTGAAAATGTCTCTATTTTTCACTTTGGAAATATGTTTCATACTTTAGTGCTCTGTCCTTCATTGTCCTGCACATTCAGCAGAACCTTAAATTATGTCTGGAATTGGAGAAGGACAAGGGGTAAAGGACTCAAACTCTCTCATCCATTTGTTTCACTGGGTTATATTCTTTTGAAGTAAAGTAAAGCCAAATGTCTACATGAATAACAGTTTTGCTGCTTGTCATACTTTTAAGACATTTAACAGTTATCATTTGACCTCATCCCTTCAAAATCCAGTTTGACCCTCATCTCACGACTCTAATTTCATGACAACTTCCAAATGCAAACACCCATTGCCAGTGCCAAGTGGAAGTTGAGAATTAAGAATCACATTTGTCATTTGCTGGGAAGAGGCAGAAATTCTGTTTTAAAAATATTGAGTTTGTTAAATTATTCAGAATTTGTTCATTTGCTTATTTATTTTGATGTATCTGCTCTAAAATATCTATTTTCCTGCTGTCACTATCACAGTCCTGCTTAGAATTTAACCTTTTCTGCAGAGTGTGTTAAGTCAGAAACCAGCAAATAATGATGTTCCTCTCAACTACTTTTAGATTTTTCCAGGCTATGGCGTTCACAGCATGTCAGCTATTAGCAGGGAGACTGTTCTCAGCTAGATGACTTTAAAAGTGGAAAATTGTTGAGTTTTTAAAATCAAAACCAGAAATCTGATCATGTCAACATTAGGTTTTTTATTTGTTTCAGTTTACTTTTTAGCTTTAAAAAAAATGAGCTCTTTTGCTCAGTCATTCTAGGCATTTGAAGTCAGTTCATAATGGTAAAAATTAAATATTCTTTACCATTTTATTTAAAAGGAGGTGGAGGAAATGCCTGTACATTCTGCCTAATGTGCATAGCAGCCTCACACAATCTGGGAATGTGCTTGTTAAGCTCTTTTCATAAGACAATGTGGCAAAGCTGCACCTACTTATGCATACACCTTGCTGAAGCATCTCTATCTCATCCTCAAAGTCAGGCCTGATTGCTTTCCATGCCTGGGACCTGATTTGGGGGAATTGCCTGAGTCCTTCAACTTTGATTCTTTTGTTGTGGTAATTGCAGACATGCCTTAGGTAAATCACTTCTTGGATTTCCTTCTTTTTAACAACTACAAAGCCTTGATCAGCTGCAGAGAAGAGAAGATAAAAATGAGTAATTCAGGATTCATCTGGCTGGACATTTGCAGAAATGCTGTGTTTGAAATTGCCTCTTTAAAAAAACTGGCTTGAAAATAGAAGGGGAAGCATTTAGAAGTTTAGGCTTAACTATTACATATCCTGTAGACTAGTAGCTCTCACCAGCCTTGAAATATCCAACGTAAGTCCTGCTTTGAAGAGGTTTTAGAAGCCTGATGACAAAGTAGGTGCTTTCCTCAGGAGATTGCATCAATAAGTGTGTCTGCTGTTCTCATGCCCTTCCCTGTGCCCCTGGGAAGGCAGGTGACCTTCAGTAACCCACAGAAAACCAAGCCCTCCAAGGCTCTTCACCTGTGTGTCTAACCTTGAATGGTTATCTATCAAGAGACAGACTTATTATTTAGGAAACCACCAGAAACTTTGGACAACTTTGAACCCTAGATATAAAATCCAAACCATTCAAGTATGATATGTACTTTGTTTTCAGTTAATCCTTACACTTTCTAGCATGCAAATAAATGCATTTAATGGATTTTTTCCCCTGCTGTAAGTTCTTACAGCCTTAGGAATTATACAAATATCTGCCATTTGGGGTTTTTAACTTGTTCATTTTGCAAATCTCAAAGCTTGGAGCTACTGTGATGAAGATGCCCCTGACTATGTCAGTTTTTCCATGGGTTGTGTACAGGTGCAAAACGTACCCCAGTTTTTGACCCTAGGAATTGTGAGGCAGAACAACCTGAGCTCAGTCTGGTGTCTCTCACCATCACCCAGACTGCAGCTCCACACAGCTCTGCCAGGATCCTGATTTTCCATCAGTGGGCCACAGGCAGTGTTGGAAGAAACAACAATTCGTGTATTTTTATGAGCTTCTCAGCACTCTGCCTTGCAGTGAGTGCCAGTATGTATGGTACTTGGTTAAAAATCACTCCACACACCTCATTTTTCCTATCAAACCATTCCTGATGTTGCCTTTCCTCTGAATTTTTCTCTTTTGTAATGACCATCTCCTTTGGTTTCTATTCACAGGCTGGTTTACAGACCTACTGCTTCCTAGTGTTTGCTGCCATCTGCTTTGCAGGAGCGACCTACCTGTTTTTTGTCCTGCCTGAAACGAAAAATAAGACATTTCAGGAGATCAGCCAGGCATTTGCCAAAAGGAATAAAGTCACTGTAGAAATGCAAGAAATGAACCACTACCCAGGGGAGAGGAAGTCGAGTGCAGAACAAGAATCAGACTTCACATCTTCGGTGGACAATGGGGAAACCAAAAAAGGCATTGTGTAAAATCAGGATGCTCTTTCAGGGGATGGGGAAAACATGCTCTCTTCATTTATAGCAGTGCACAACTTGTAATCTTAATGTGACATCATGAACTGCTGCCCCTTGAATATGTTTGAAGTGAGATGGGTGAATTCATTGGCAGCTAGGGTGGTGGCTGAGGCAATGAGAGGTGGGAGTAGCAGCAACTGATTAAACAAATACGAGATGGAGTTTCCTTGGCACCTGTGAAATAGTGAGTGGGATGGGGAATATAGACTTGGAGAAATGAAGTGGCAGTGGGGAGCCAGGGCTGTGAGCAGCAGCAGGGCTCACAGGGAGGTGTGTGTGCTGTCAGCAGGAGGAGAAGGCAGGGAAAAAGGAAGAGATCCCAGTGGGGGATCTGCTAAGAATCGATGCAAGCAAACCTGAAATGGTACTGGCATGCATTTCCCCACGTTTCCTAAGATATCATTCAAGTTGCAAGTCTCTCAATGACAATTGAGGAACTGAAAGAAGCTCATGACACTACCCTGACTTCCCATTCCTTTTCCAGCTGTTTGTCTTTCAGTTGCACTGTCTGAACATCTCCCACCTTCCCATAAATGGAGAGCTCCAGGTCCTAATGAGTTTCCTTGTCTCTCTTGCAAATCCTGACCAACTAGCGATAGAATTGCCTCTAGTTTCTGGGTTTGCTGGCAGTGCATTTCTCTGAAGAAATATATGTATATAATTTTATTTTTTAAGAATATCCTTAGAAGATTTATTATGAAAACTAAACCTCATGGTGAAGTGAGAGAACTCTGATGGCACGTGTAGGGTGTAGCATTAAAATAAAAAATCAAGCATCAAGTGTTCCAACGGTTGGGGGGGGTTGATTGTTTTGTTTGTTTGTTTGTTTGTTGCTTTTCTTTTCAAATTCCTTTTAAAGCAAGTCTTAGGAGCCAAAATTTCCCTGAGACCTGATAACTGTTATTTCTTAACACTCAGATCTCTCCAAAGGAATTTGGGTGTCTATTTCTTAAACACTGATTTTTATTTGGGCATTAAATTCTGAAGCTCCAGGCCTAGTTCACATTAAGAGGTTTCTAAGCTGTTTAATGCTTTGTAAAACTGCTTAATTTCATGAGAGAAAGCCTCAGCAGGCTCTCGGTGGTTAGGTGAACAATCCACAAGGGATATTTTTAATGAACATCATCTTTACAGTTTGTAGTTTTGATAATAGTTTTTCTTGATCCTTCTAGGTACCTGGATGCTGAGGGGTAATAAGCACTTTGAAATTAAATAGCTGTTTTATTTGAAGAGCCAGTAAGTGTTAAAGCTGCTCTCAGTTAGGAGTAAGACATAAGAACAAAGTGCAGCATGAAGGTAGGGCCAACTGCTTCTACAAGTTATGTTTACTAATCCAGAAATGTATAAATGTGGAGCATTTGTGAAAGAAAATTTGCATATATATCATAGAAGCAACCAGGTTGGAAAAGACCTCCAAGATCATCAAGTCCAACCCTGCCATGGTTACTAGACCATGGCACTAAGTGCCACATCCAGTCTCATCTTTAAAACCTCCAGGGATGGTGAATCCACCACCTCCCTGGGCATATGGATAGATATATTCCAAGTATATGTATATATTAATATTAAATAGCTTAATATTAGGGGCTTTAAGGTGAAAGAGGGTACATATAGATTGGATATTGAGAAATTCTTTACTGTGAGGGTGATGAGGCACTGGAACAGGTTGCCTAGAGAAACTGTGGATGTATCATCCCTGGAAGTGTTCAAGGCCAGGCTGGATAGGGTTTAGGGCAACCTGGTGAAGTGGAAGGTGACCCTGCTCATGGTAGGGGATTGGAACTAGATGATCTTTAAGGTGTCTTCTAACCCAGGCCATTCTATGATCCTATGATTTATATTCACATATATACACACACAGTGGAGAATTGTTTTCCAATATCTGGGTGGGTTTTTTTGTATTTGCCCGAGTGATAAGCTGTTTTTTTGTTTTGTCCTACACTGTAAATTACACTGTAAATTAAAATCAGAGGTCCTAATGTTCAGCTGTTACTACTAAATTATGTATATGGTTTTATACTGTGATTTATTTATACGTGGCATATTTACTGCACACATTGTAAGTTGACCTAATAGGGCAATTTCAGTACTAGGAAATGGACAAAAAATTGATGTCAGCCTTTATTCCAGAATTTATACTTTTTTCCTGGGATAGAGGCGCAGCAGTAGGTAAGAAAATGAAAGTATATACGAGAAAGAGAATTAAGAATGAAAAAATCAAATGTATGGGTTTGGTGCTATTATGAAAGCGAGTGAATCGGGATTATAACAACTGATAATCACAGATAGAAGCTAATCAAATACTATGGAGAAAACTGAAGAAAAATATGGGTTTTAATAACCACTTATGAAATTATATATACAGCAAATGAAAATGTTACCTTTTGGTGCCTTTAGTTCCCTATTCCATGTGTTACTTGAGGCTTGCTGAGTGAATGGCTATGTAAAAAAATGAGCTTGAATGCCAGTATTCAGGAGAATTTCAGGAAGAAATTCTGCCTTTTCTGCCTGCAGGATGAGCCTGGCAAATTCACACTCACTCAATCAGATTGAGAATTACCCTAGTTTATAGTTAGGACTACTAACATGCTATGATGTGATCTGGTCTGAGTCAAAGTAGCAAGATTGGAAGCCATTATTATTATTACTGTTAGAATTAGAAGTATTTAGCACTTAATGCTGCTCATTAATGTTCATTATAGGCATTGTTGAAAATGTTACCATTGGAAAACCTCAATTAAATATCATGAGGACCTGACATGGCATTTGTATGGGACTTCTGCACCAAAATACAATAATCCTACAGTGGCGTTTGCAGCTCTGAATGTGTGGCTAGAGGTGGCTTGATAGAATTTCCTGGCACACCTCACCAAGGGGTCATGACTTTTGCTCTGCAGCCCCATCTCTTACCCTGCCTGAGATGGACACACACTTTCTGTGTGGCTGCAAAGAGAGCAGCTGCAGACCAAGTATACCATGGGATGGTGGTTCCTCATGTTGCCAGTGGTTTGTTGCCTCCCGTGGTACAAGTTAGAAGCAATTCCAGTCTCCAGATGTGTACATGAGCTGGTGCTTTGCTCACTGGCCAGAGAAGGTGGTTGCAGTGTCCTCTGCCCTGGATTGTGGAAGTTTCAGATGGGCCCATACTGCATTCACTTTCTCATCTCTGACCCTAATGAGAGTTTTGTGTTCTTCCAGTTGTTTCATAAAGTTATTTTCCATTGTTATGCTGCTATAGCTTCTCCAGCAATGAGAGGACAACATGGAAAATATCAGCAATTTATTATTTGGCTTTTCTTGAATGTATCAAGTTGTGTCCAGCCTGTGTTTTTGTCAGTGAGCATTGTGTGGTGCCATGTTCTCTTTTCCTGTCTGTGACATTGGGCTGAGGTACTGAGAGGTGGTGTTTGTAAAAGTACTGCTAGTGTGTGTGATCAACTATGGCCATGCCTTTGCAAAATAAACCTTTCTAATTAAACTAGAATGATGCAGACTTTGTTCTGGGCAAATCTCTACACCTGTACATGTTTCACTTCTCTGGAGTTTTCTATGTCCCAGTGGGGACTGTTCAGTCCCAAGTTGGGACAACCCAAGTCATTGTGGACCCTACAGCTTGGTGCTTGGGAGTTATAGAAAGAAAATCATCCCTGAAATTATATACTTTTTGGAGTGCTATTCACTTTCTGAGTCTCAAATCAGATTCTATACTTCATTCTTTCATATGTTTAGAGTGGGTTTTAGAAGTAAAAATAGACACCACTGTGAGGAAAAATGGTTAAAACTGGTCACTAGTAGTAATAACAGTGTGTAAGAATCGTTGAATCTGGGGAGATGTTTTTGCAGAAAGTTGTCATTTGCAATGGATGAGTTTGAGCTGCTAAAGTTCTCATCACTTTCTGATGAGAAATTCAGTCAAATGACTATATCTGCTACAAGGATATGCAGAATCTGAAATATGCATAAAAAAGTTGAATTTCATACTTCATATTCTGAAGCCAATTTTCACTCCACAAGGATCTGCTTTCTAGTGGGGGAAGATGTGAGTAATAATCCATATGGGATAACTTTCATCTTCAGAGTAAAATGAAAAAAACCAAACCCCACACTAAAACCAACTCCGAAATTTGCTTTCTTTCCCTTGACTATTTTGATGTGCTTTTCCTTACAGACAGCACCTTACAAACTATTGGAGCTCTGATCACCTCACACATCAGAAGAACAAAACCAAGTAAAGCATTCTTAAGATGCACCTCTGGTCTTTTCCTTTCAGTCTGACTCCAGTAAATAGAATTCAGATACAATTTAAAAGCCTGAAATACACAGACCCAAAGTGAAGCAGCTTTGTTCATGTAAATATTCATGCTGTTAGAACATTCACATATGAGTCCATTCTTAATTCTCTCTTCAAGTGATCTTATTTGGAGGTGAGACCGGTGAAAACATGAATTTCATGCCAAAAACTTTGCACTTGGACTCCTAATCAAGTTATCACAGATCAGTAAGCAACCATGCATATCCTGAATCACTACAGCCCTTTTACTTGCAAGCTAAGCTGCATTAATCTTGCTTTTTTCATGATTTAGGAGAAACACAGGCAGTGGATAGTCAAGCTCTTTCTTGAGATGTTCCCTTTAAAGCTGTACTACAGTCAAATTCTTTTAAACCTAGGATTTTGATTTAATATTTGAAAAAAAAAAAAAGCATGGAAGAAAAGCTTTCAGGGGACATTTACACAGTGATTAGTGAAGGTGACAGAAATCTTCTCCAGTGGTTTCAACCACACAAATGTACCTAAGAAAGACATGGTATATATACAGGAGTTCTAAACTTAGAAAACAGCACATTTTTATCTTTAGACAGAAAACAAATGGCTTGTTTTTTCAGCCTGAAAAAACAATATAATTACTCAGGTGCTGCGAAAGCACTGATCTGATGCTTCTCTTCTACGTTTGGGA